CACTGCCTCTTGCAGAGCTGCCGGCAGCGGGCATGGATGCCCCTTCCAACCGCAGTACGGACAGCAAGGCAAGAGACAGGTAATTTGTCGCGCTGGCTAAGGTTAGCTCCAACAGGAGTATGTTTAAATAAATATTTGATATTGTCCAGGAAATACGGAGGGGTTTGCACATCTATGTCTATGCTAAGCTAGCCTTCTACATGCAGCTGCGGGAATACAGCGGGTGCGCCAGAATTTCATTATTTCTCTTCTCCTGAGCCCGGCTCCCACCAGCATTTGGCTGAGAAGACAGCTTTTGAGAAAAAAACATGGTTTATTGATCAGTGAGATCTCGCGAGAGTCACTAGTGTCTGCAGGATGGAAAGGGTGGAGTACAGGGGAGGCGATGGGGCCAGCGGGAGGGCTGTGATCGTTAAAAAAGCAGCACCCGTGCCCAGTGTAGTGCTGCCACCAGGTTTGGATGTGCCTGCTGAACACGTATGGCACCTGTGAAGAGGACTTGAGAGATCGGGGACAGAGCAGTGCGCTCAACGTCTCGGAATCGCCACAGCACGAGCAAAACCCTCCCTGCCAGCCCGGCACAGAGCGCTTGGCTCAGTACGTGGGCCCCTGTAGCGTCCCACAACCCCTGCGCCAAACACCAGCAGCAACACAGGTGAAACAGGGCTTTCACCACCCACAGGGCTGTGTGTGCGTGTTAGGCTGACAGAGAACAGAAACTCGTCTTTACCGGCGGGAGAGTGTTTTTCCCCAAACAGTTCCCCAGCGTGTCCTCTCAGGATTCACTCTCGAAAGTGACCTACAAATAACTCTTCCAAAAATAAACCTAGGAAATAAGAGAACTCTGCCAGGCACTAAAGCTCATGAATTCGTTGCATCGAAAACCCATCACCGTATTCCTGCTAACATCCCCACTGCTGTCCTTGCCTCTCAGAGAGGCTGGGCGGCTGCAAACACCGCCCGGACGATGGGCAGTCGTGTGCAAGTGGCTTCATCTCCTGCTTCTTGTCAGGCCTACGGCAGCGACGCACGGCTCACCAGCACCCACCAGCCGAACGGAAGGTGCTGCTTCGCCCTACAAACCTCCTATCCTTGGGCAAGCGTGGTTAATGACTCCACCATTACCGTTCCTGCCCTGCTAAGAGCAGTTTTAAGAAAGCCTTGGAAACAGACACCCTCCTCTCCCGTCACCCTCCTGGCCGCTCGCCCCAGCGAGGCCTTGGGAGGTTGGGACCCGGTGGGCCTGCCTGCGCTGTGCAGTGTCCAGCCGGGTCTAACCGCACCACGTCCCGCCCGGCCGCGCCGCAGGCTCCAGCAGCGGGGAACCAGGATGGGGAAACTGCCGCGACCCGCAATCGTGTCGGTGATACCGTTTCACCGAGATGCTCTTCGGCGTCGCTCGGAATTCCTGCAACACCGGCAACTACAGAAAACGCGAGTTTTCTGCTGGGAACCGGACAGGCCGGGCGGGCGGG